GGGCAGCGTGGGCCGAAACAGCTGAAATTCGCGCCTCCACGAGCTTTGCCGACCCTACCATATTCCTACATCCTTGCTACATGCCACCAAGTCTGCAGACGTCCTTGCTTACTCTGAGGCTCTGGCGGGGTCTTTGACCATTTCTGCACGGGAGTTGGCACGTAGCTGGCCTGGCCCTGGCAAGTTGTGCGCTGGAAGGCGCTGCGGCATCGTGCCCTTTTCCGAGATTCCGAGAAATCTGCAGGTTGTATCTACTTCTGGTGATTGGAAATATTAATCGTGAATTTCATCGAGATCCTGGGGCCAGTCGTGACAAAGCTGGGCTTTCATGAGATCTGCGTAGAAAAAGGGATACGAAAAAGCCTAGAAACACCTGGCTAGGGTTTACATTCTTTGAGGGTTTCAGGTTCCCCTTCGTAGACCCACAGAGAACAAGTCTGGGGCATGCAAAATCAATATGACCGTGTGAACTGCAGAGCACCCAGGAAATCCCATGATGATAATGGGGGATAATGGAAAAGAACATGGAAACTACTATATTGTATGGCTATATAGGGGTGATGAAACTCCCTGCAGGGTCCCGCATGGTAGCTCTGAGCCTTGAAGCCTAGAGCCCATCAGAGGAAGCTGATTGTGGCCTGCGCGAGCTCAGTCTCTGGCAGTTTCCATAGGTAGGGGGATCCAGTGCCAATGCAAATCCCAAAACACGAATAGTCATAGCAACCCCAGAATCAGAAAGGGAGCCCCTAGCTTTCGGGATACCTCATCCCTATCCCTATAGACCACTATGGAAGCCCAGTTTCCATTTCATCTGCCATGCTCTCTCCCAGTTGATTCTTTATTATTGGGGCAAAATATTGCTAAACCCTAAACCCCAATTCGAAACACTAAGGCCCAACCCCCAACCCTAAACCCTTAGCCCTCGACCCTAAGCCCTAAACCCTACACCCTCAGCCCTAGACTAAACCCTAAGCCCTGATCCCCTAAGCCCTAAATCCTATAGTCTCCTTCCAACCAACCCGCAACAAACCCGAGAGGCTGGCTTGAGACCAGCATCCATCCCGGAGGTTGACCTGAGCTTGATTTTCGGTTCCATACAGGGTTTAGGTTATGTAGGGTTGTATTATAGGGAGAGGGAAAAGAAAATGGAAGCCACCATTTAGGATTTACAGTTTAGAGTGGGGGTTGTGAAGATGGAGAGTCCTCGGGACCCCAGAGATATGTGCATGTATAAAATGTGGGATTACAGTGGTATCATGGGGGCCTTTATTAGGGATTTCATGAGGATTGCTTCGAAAAAGCACCCACGTTTGCTTGGATTTAAGGTCTGGGGTCTGGGGTCTAGGATTTAGGGTTTGGGGCTTAGGGTTCCTGGTTCAGGTTCCTGGTTCAGGGCGTCGGGTTTACTGTCTCAGGGTGTTTTACAGGATCTTGGGCTTTGGGCCTTGGGCTTCAGGATTAAGGTGTAAAGGAGGGCTGTAAGCAAAAAAACAACAGGGTGACTCCCCCTTTAAGGCACTGGTTGAGGTAGAGGTTGTTCTCGTGGTAGGGTTCAGTGTTCTAGAGCTCGTTGTCAGACTCCTTCGCAGAACGGGATGCGACTCGTGAGGCTGGAGGCAGGGCTCTGCCACATGTCACATGACAAGCTAGAGTAGAAGCTGTTTCATCTCACGAGAGTTTCCCGTTGGCGTTGGCTGGAGTGGCCCGTAGATTTTGCCACAGGTGTGAGAAGTGTGTTGGAGGGCAGCTCTAACCTTTAGAAAGGTCCTCGATGATGCTTGTTCCAGTCCCGTGTCTGCACCTCCTACGTTGAAGCGCAATCGGTCCTGTGCCTTCTGATGCCACCGTTGAAGTTGTGGGTGCACACGCATCTTTCTGCCTTGCAAGAATTAGGATTACAATTGCCACCAGCACGGCACCACGCAAAACGTGCTGGCAGAAGGCGAACAGCCTTGTTTTCACAGCAGGCTGAACCATCTGAACGGAAAGGATAAGGGTCTTATGCCCTGGACCTGGTTGCCAAACACATTGAGTCGACTCCAACAAACTCTGTTGAAGCCTGTGAAGGTGACTCTTGAAACCACTACCCTTGTCATGCGCGCATGACGTCTTCGGCTCAAATCGTTTTCCATCTCAGCTTGACCCTTTCGCCGTGAAGCTGACGGTGAATGCGGGCGGTGCAAAGTGGAAGGTGAAGTGCGTCGTGACATCGTGGAATGCACTCGTGAAGCGCTCATAGAGGCGTTTCAAGGCATCCTTGACCTTTGAGGCCATCTGTACGACCGCATCTTTAATCTTTGCACAGGTCTCCTTGATCCACCCCAACACTCTGCGAACGAAATCTTTCACCTTCTGAGCAAAAGTCGGACCACCGCTACTCTTCCACACCTCGCTGGAAAAGTCTTCGGCCAGAGAAAGCATTGCGAAACAACCCTCCCTCATCTTTTGCACCTTCCCCTTCTGTGTTTGCTTCTCTTCAGCCGACAGGTTTGAGTTCATTTCAATCGCAGCCTCCAATTGATTGAAGCCCTGGTTGGTCTCCGCCATGTCATCCATGTCTGACTAGCTCTAAGCTGGTGCCGTCAAAGGGATTTGTCCAGCTGAAGCTGCTGCGAGCCGAAACTTCAACAAATCGCCATGCTGTCATCATTTTTTGTAGGCCAGATCAGTCAGCTCTAATTGACACAGCAAGCTTTGCGACATTGCAGTTGAGAAACAAGGCAATGTGAGCCCTGCGGTCCGGCCTGCTCGTAACACTGCCGCTGCATTCCATTCTCGTAGTTCTTGTCACTGTCGTTGTGGCCGTGATCGACGGGCAGCAGTCAAATCAAGTCAGGGCGCACGAGCGCTCTAAACCCAAAGCTCAAGACCTGTTGGGTAAGGCGACTGGGGGTTATACTAAGGAGACAGGGGGAGATCTGGTACTCCCCGTTCGTACAGATTCCAGAATGCCTGAGCTGGATCCGAAGGATTCCTGGATGGTAGCATGATGTATACTTACTATGAGGCTACCATCGTCATGACCAGTCTCTGCCTGTCTGGCTTGCAAGTATGATCGCCATTCCTATTACCTGCTTGACATTAATGAAACTACTGCTGATGGAGAGAAATCCTGTGGGGCAGGAGTTCGTCCATCAACAACCATGTTGGCACCTAACCATAGCCTATATGCATCGTTTTGAGGTCTGCTTGAGGTACTTTATGGGATGGTTATACAAGGAATCGAGAACCATGATGTTGGTAAGCATTTGGGCTCCATGAATTTCTGTTGTCAAGCCCCCAGCACGGCACTCGGAGACACTCATTTCGGAGCTGCTGTCCATGTCAGCCCAGGCACGCCTGCACCAATGGGGATTACTATAGGGATTGTACAAGGATGATACATGGATCTTAGCGGATTCTCTCAAGATCATGAGGGATTGTATGGGGATTGGACTGTATAAGGACCACCGGGAATTATATAGGGATTCTTGCAGATTATAACAGGCTTCAGCAAGCCCAAACCCCAAATTAGAAGAACTTATGATCCTCACGGTAATGAGTGGGTCAAAATTTGGTGGATGCCTTATGCATTAGATCTTGTTATTAATTGTTGCTGCTCATGAATTCCTCTACCCTCTCCACACTAACATGCAGCCCCCCAAAGGCCTCCTTCACGAGGACTGTAGCTGCTGTAGTTTTCATTGGGCCCTTTTCCATATTCGTTTCGGAGTGTGGTGAGAAACTAATGAGAAACTGTTTCCGTGACATACCGCTCGTCCTTCTTCTCGAGTCTGGGAAATATATCACTAGGCGTGTCTGTGCAACCTGAAGGTCTGGATTTCGAGGACTTGGTCTCAACAATTTGTAGGACCCTGCTGTGATGAGCTTGAACTTTAGGTTATACTGTAATATAGTATAGGATACCAGAGTATCCTAAAATGTACTATATTACGCCACAGTATTCTGTCTTGTAGTATATGAGACCATAATAGACCGCAATATACTATGCTATGCTATAATACACTGTAATATACTATATTATACCATAATATACTATAATATACTACATGATGCCGTAATATACTGCAATATACTATAATTCTATACCATAATATACCATAGTAGAGTGGTGCAAGACTTTGTTGTGTTCATCGGGGCCGATTGCAGGCCCCGGAGCGAAGGAGTCGCTGGCTAGCGAGCACCATGTCCTTCCCCTTAATGGTTTAGAGTTTAGGGTTTTGGAGTTTTGTGGCTTGCTGACTGCTCTGGAGGCTTTTGACAGGGGCCTCGACCATAATTATCGCTGAGGCTGATAGCGACATTGTCTGAGGATCTTTGCCCGCACCCTCTTTAAATCTCTTTAGGGCATGGGTCGTTCTCGGCTAACTTGCGTTCAAAACATGCGCCTGCAGTATTCTGATATCCCCCAGGGCTAACAGCCTTTGCCTGAAACTTGACCGAGGACTTCAGACCTAGACTTGGACCTTGAATGCCCAGATGTCGGCAGATCTTGCTTCACAGCCCTCTGATCCTCCCAGAGATCTAAAACCCAAAAAGTAGGAGCCTCAATACTCGTGACAGGTACACCTGTCACCTCGATCGCCTTTACCCGAATCTGCAAGCTGAAAATCCTCCCTAAACAACCTGAAAACCTCTCAAAACAGCCATGGCTCCCACTACACCCTGCAACTGAATTTTCCTATTGGCCTGTGGCTCAAAGGGAGCTCCAAGGGGGGCACGGGCCAGGCTCTTGCCTTCCAAGAACAGCTTGCAGCTTGACGAACTGATTGGCACGCTGCTGCTACTGCTGCTACTTTACTACGACGACCACGGCGACCACAACCGAAATGACCGAAGTGGCAGCTACAGCGACGGGGACGCGCGACAGCCACGGCATTGGTGGCGCAACGATGGCAGTGGCGCGACTGCAGCCGGTCCACGACTACAGCGGTGCATGCGATAAGTACGATATGCTGTTCCTACTTGCACTCCTACTCCTGCTACACCCACCTGAACTGTCGCTTCCACGCCTGCTGCTTTACTACTATCAACCAATTTAGCTTTTGCTGTTGTCAGAAAAGAGCTCGTAGTTTGCTGTAGGCTTGGCTCCTGTGAGTTCAAGTTCTGCAGCCATGGACATGCCCGAAACGCCCTACACAAAATATGCTATCCTTTTCGTAGTATATGGACTCAAGCAGTAGGGTATAGTGTATTTCTCAGCTGCAAAGCCTGACCGACTCCAGCAGCTTTACACTCTGAGATTCCCCATGGCTACAGTCCCACGTTCCCAGAACCTGTGGGTCCAGCAACGTCGCCTGCGGCGTGCTGATGTCCTCATTGAAAGCACTCATGCTCTGCCCTCCCTGACTGTAAAACTAATCAGCAATATATTCAGTAATATGTGGTCGTGAGGCACCTGCTAAGGACTGTTCAGCCTGCAGCCCTTTTTCTGGCCTTACGGCCAAGAAGCCTGTGCGTCTGACGTTTGATCTCCAAATATCTACAGCAGCTATGTGACAGGCTGCAGTGACGACGAGTCCAGAGCATAGGTCCTCTTCCTCAGGAATTGGAGGACCCGCCATCCTGGAAGCGGCCAGCCAGAAGAAAAGCTGCATCTAGGAAACACCAAGCTAAGTGACTACTCATGCGTCTGGTGATCTTGCATGTTTGTCATGTTTGCTGGCCGAGCGCTCTCTGCAACAACAGTATCAGTACGCGCTACCTGCTACCCGGGGCCGGCTGCAACATTCAGATGCCACAACAACTAGACGCAGATGCAAGCTGCGCTCTGCAGTTGAAGCTTTCCTTCAAAAAGATCATGGGGACTGCATTTTGTAACATGGAGGTCTCCTACATCATCTTAGAAAGTAAGGAGAGATCCGAAAGCAAAGGCAGCTAGGTTCAATATTCTTGTGATCCCTGTAACTGTATAGACTCCCAGATACAATCAGCAGTTCTGTTCTGTATGAACCCTCTTTGAATATATTCCCTGAAGCTAGACCGATCCCCATAAATCCTACAGTAGTTTCCATTATTCTCATACACATCAAAAACCTAAACCCCCAAATCCTATGGTAGTGTCAATTGTCTGTAACCGTTTTTCCTGTATATCTCTCACACCACCCGGAATCAAAAACCCGCAATCCGTGAACCCTGAGAGTGAGTGGCTGAGGGCACGACCAGGGCCGGGAAAGCGTGGCCGGCCTCGCAAGTCAACAAGGAAGCCGGTTTGAGATTGTGAGAAACTGTGATAGTACTGGCTCGACGCCCTAGTCAAATGGCAAGAGCCCTATCAAAACATAAAGTACTAGGGGTTGCTTCAGAACTTTCTGCAACTACAGTTTCTCAAGAATACGAGTCCTGTTTTCTGTATGCATTGGACGGAAAGGTAACACTGCTATAAACCCGTAATCAGGAACCTTCTTCTCTAGGAAGTCGGCTGTGGAAGTTGCTAGCTCGTGCAATGTGCACAGTGCTAGCAGCGGGGTCTGCTTCCTCAAGAAGAGTGGAAATGCGCAGGACTCGCCCGGCTGAACCAACTTCAAGACGCTGCAGCCCAGCCGAGCCTAACCATCAGTAGATCCTCTACATGCGGGTTGCCATGTATACTGCTCTAAATTCTGCCACCCTCCCCCGCAAACGAAAGGGATGGCCATGACCCCAAAAAGCCTAACAAAATCCTGCTATCGAGTGCAGGCCAGTCACATGCGTTGGCTTCCGGAGAGCTGCAGGCCCTGCTGGTCAGGAACCAGGGGGTCCGTGCTTCAGGTTTGAGATTGTAAGGCGACAGAAAATAGACGCATGTAAGGAGAGTTCATCGCATTGAGGTCGGGGCGAGAAAAACCTGAGGGAGCGGCGTTCATTTCCAGAAGATTCAGGCTCATTTTTGCATCGCCTGTCCCTACAAATACGGCTTGCAGTGACTCTGAAAGATCATCTCCACTGGTCAATCAAACTTCTTCTTTTCCCCCATTCAGTCCATGAAGACCTCCAAGGTAGGCACATTATGCAACACGGGTGTAATCCATAACTGCAGCTGCCTAGGATATGACCTGGGCGAAACTGAGTGCTTTCGTAGAAGTACCTAGACTTGACAGCGTGCAAAGAGAAGAAGACTGAAACCAAACTATGGAAGGAACATTTTGGTTGAGGGCCTTCAGTAAGGGAGCTCAAGTCACATAGCTCTATCACCACCATTCCAGTCAAAATTACAATGGTCATTTGCCAGTCGACTGCCCAAAAAAAAACTACAATGGTTGCAAAAGCGCCGCGCCCCAGCCCTAAGCCGTATGCTTGACATAAGCTATAGCATCCCCCTTACTAGCCCCTATAGTACAATAGTCCGCTACATGATCCCTTGCATAACCCCCTTTAAGGAGTTTAGACTATGGCTCACATGCATGAGACCTCTGTAACTGAATAGCAAACTGGAAGTCGCGCCGCCCGTTAATTGGAATCTGCCATCGAACAAGAAATGGTAGTTTCGCAAAATAAGGGACCCCAATATAGACCCCAATATACTATGATCCTTATTATGGAGACCACCAAAAAGGTACCCCCAATTCCAAAGCTCTCTGGCACGCCATCGGAATGCGTTGGGTGGTCCTCTTGCTAGGGAAGGGAACAAAGCCAGAACTGAAACTAACGGATGCGGCCTAGAGAATCTGAAGAGGTTTTTATGGGTGGATTACATGTAGTTCTACAAGTAATTACCGCATGAAGCCTATATACATATGTACACACAATATCGACATGTGTAAATATACACATACAATCATCATCATTATCTTCACTATCATCAAGTATTATGCAGGTGTCTGCGCCGTTCTACCTGCAGCCCAGGTGGAGGTGCCAGGGCCCTCCCACGCCCCATGCCACGGCCGTGAAGCCCAAACGAGGGCCCCTGCTCACAAGCATGGTTTCAACCATTTTGGGGGCAGAGCTTGTTGTTTTATGTTTGTTGGGGTTGAGGTAGGTTTCGCGGCTGGCATGGAGTTTGAAGCTTGTGCAGGAGAGTTATTCTACATCCCTTACGCAAACTAACGATCCGTGCTTTGTGCGATACCGTATCGGATAACGAGTCAAGTTTTTGCGGTTAGGTTTAAGGCTTGAGGCACGATTCGACAATGGGCTAGGGATCACCTCCACCACTGCTGACTGCAATTAATACACTGATGCTGCGTTGCCTTTTCTTTTGCATTGTTTTGGGTGCGCTTGAAGTAAAGATTCCATTTGCACCTGCTATGTTGCTACGGTCCCTGCTACTGCTATCACCTTTCATGACTGCCCATTCAGGCAAGTGCTTGCTTTAGTCCGAGATGGGCCTGTCTGAGGTCATACCGCAACTAGGGCTTTTAACTTTGTGGGTAGAGTTCCTGCTTTCACAGGCCAAATTCACTTCAAGCTTGATGTATTGCTTGCAGTTGCGCAACTCCTCCATCACACCCAGGCCTCGAAAAGCCTTCCCATGGGTCGGCCTGGCGTACCAGCAGCTAGTATTGCTTCTTACCTCACAGATACCTCCAAGAATGTAAGGCGATATGAGTGTGACAAAGGGATCATATGAATCAATCATAACTCCTGCACCTCTTCAAGGATTATGTAGGGGTTATGCTAGGAAACATCAACGTAGAAAATTGACTTCTTATGGAAGATCTCGGCAAGAGCCCATCTTGCTTCAAGAGCCACATCTTTCAATGACATGTGGTTCCAAGCACTTTGACTCGTTGAGGGGCATCAGGGTTTGAAGCGTGTTACGGCTGTACCAGATCTTCAGAAAGGTCTTATGATCTCCATGTTCTTTTCCATTCCTATTCACTCGATACTAACAACCGGCAAGTTGACCCTGCCATCTCACTTCCCATTTACTTTGCCTCTTTCCCAACAACAAGGAACCGTATAGTAGGCTCCATTCTCTTTTCCATGCCTCCATTCCCTATGGAGTTTAGACTATGACTTAAAGGTCCCTTAAAACCCTAGGCACCTCTATAAACCCTATATGTCCCTAGATAGCCCTGCAAGCCCCACATATATCTCTATAAACCCTGAACCCTAAAGCCATAAACCCTAAACCCTATAACACCTAAACCCTGAAGCCTGATACCATCAGGACCCCAATGTTACCCGTATATAGCCCCAATATATATCCCAATATACTATAGTAGTTTCCATTTTATTTTCCATTATCCCTAAACCCTTAACCCTAAACCCTATAGTAGTAAGCAGTACGACTGAGGGCCCTTGCCTCGACCGAAGCCGCGGGCAGCGGACCAGGTGCCATCCGAGAGCCCGGGCACCAGGTCGTCGTCCTGGCTCTTTTCGATGAAATCCTATAACCCCTTTAATACGGGTTCTAGGGGTTATATGGGGCTTCTGTTGGGGGTATATGCGGATGTACAAGACATGCGGTATAGGAAGGGAGAATCAAGTGGACAAGAAGATGGACAATGAATGGAAACTGGGTTATGTAGAGGATAACAGGGACTCGGGTGTGGGGGCTCGTTCATGTAGGATAGGGTCTTTGCCAGAATTCTATAAGGATTATAGTGATGGTACTAGCAATTATTCAGCCTTCCCCACTATTGTGTTTTTTTTGGTGGTGCTGGAGGGGATTCCGGGAGCGAATATGGGCACTATTGTAGGGGATTATATGCTAAGAAAACTCAGGGATTGTAATCCCCAACAGCCAAAAAGGAGACACCCCGCACCCCGCACCCCCCCCAGTACCACTATATTGGGTGGTATATAAACTCAGGGGCTAGGGGAGCTAGTACTGTTACCTGTATACTCCAAATACAAGACCAGTACATAATCTGGGGGGCACTGCTCTTGGGAGGTTTATTATTGGGGGGGCGCATTACAAGGGTGGGAACACAGAGGGCTTTAGCATGTGGAAATCACGCGAGGATATCTGATGTTCTCAACAGAAGTTGCGGAAGCAACTCAGGATTTCCATTTCCGAAGGGTTCTTCAGTCCAGGTTGGACACATAAACGTACCGGGTTTCTGAAACTTGGGCTCTGTGGCAATAGTTCAGATGTTTGAAGTGGGATGAAGGTTCAGTGAGGATCCAGGGATTGCATAAACTATAATAGTTTCCTCCTTTCCATCATCCCAAGATAACCCCAATATTATTCAGTATAAGCCCCAATATACTAAGTAGTTTCCACGTGATTTCCATTATCCCTAAACCCTGTAGTAGTTTCCAATATTACCCCAATGCGAACTACTGTGCCTGTGCCTGGAGATCAAGTAGCAGTAAGCTGGAAATGGGGCCGGCTGCCGCGAAGGACCACTGTACTTCCCATTGGGGTAATATTGGGGTTATATTGGGGTTATATTGGGGTTGTATTGGGGTTGTACTGGGGTTGTGTTGGGGTTATACCGGGTTTATGTTGGGGTTCTGTTGAGGTAATATTAGTGTTATATTTGGGTAATGGAAAAGAAGATGGAAACGACTATAGTATATGCAATCGGACTCCACCTCTGGTATGAAGCTTAGATTATCTTGGGGGGTCTGAAGGGTCTGAATTTCCATTGTATGACTGGGAGTTCCATCTTTGCGACCTCTTTTGGGGATGCTGCGGATGTGGATCATTGGAAACAAGGTTTGCTAAATGAGTGATTGTAACTGGGTTTCTGGACTCGCCTTGTCCAAATACAGCAGGGATTGCACATGCCAAGTCAACATTTTGGGGGAATTACTGGCACAACATCATGGTCCATGTTCTGATTCGCACCTAAGCACCGCATAGACAGAGGTTGGATGCTCCTCCGCATCGTCGCTTTGCGAGTTGTCCTTGCAGTCAGGAACATGGCCCAAGGTCTATGTACAAACTCCTTAGTACGAATGAAAGCTGAATTGCATTCAACAAGTGTATATGGCATGGGTGATGTTTGTCTGAGTCTGAGATAGGGCAAGGCGGTCAATTTCACCACAGCTCACCAGAATAGACTAGAACTCTCCTTCGGTCTTAGGCATGCCTCGTCCTGCACTGACGAGGTTGTTGACACGTACAAATGCCTGGTGGGACGTACCCGCCAGTTTCTCCCGGATTGCTTCTTTGTGATTGAAGGTCACAACAATCCCGTACCTTTTCGAGGGTTCTCTGCAACCTTTGAACTAGAGCCATGAGGGGCAATCTTGCAACATCATCGCGAAAATGCTCTGAGCACGGAATTTCAAAAAACCTCTCCTCAACGGGCTCGGGTGGTTTCCATTCCCTGGCGACCGCCACGGGGGCTGCCTGGCGATCATCATGAGCAGCAGGCTGGAGGCCCGCCGGAATTTCCTACAAGATAGGGTTCAGGGATCCTGCACGTATGGAAGAGTCAGAGGCCCAGTTGGGTAAAAAGGCGTTTAAACAGGACAGCATACATGTCAATGATCCCCAGTAACCAAGGGTTGTACTACGATACGATACGACTAAGGACTATGCCCAACTGGTGATGCCTATATGCCCTTTCCATCTTTGTGTAAGTTGACGAGACAATATCTCATTACAGACAAGGGCCCCAGGCTGAGCCAGACAGACTGGATAATGCAAGATACTGTGGATCCTAAAATTCCTATACTGTAGTCACATTATTCCCATGGTATAAAGTACGTGGGGTCATGCCGGATTTTATCATTCACCTTAGTCATGTTTCCTACTGCTCAGGGCCTGGACAACTACCTCTTGCAGCTCTATAAGAAGTCATCTTCGGCTCTGCACGACACCTAATAGTCTCAGCCTCACATGACTGCAAGTATCAATATCACTGAGACTGAAACTGCCACGACTGATCAATCTATCTGTAAGAAAGACCTTCCAAACCTGCGCAGGACTGTCCAAAGACGTTCCAAAACTGAGACTGGCTGTAGACGCCCCTAGGCTACATCATTAACATCTGAGCAGAAACCCGTTTTGCCACATTTAACCATAATTCGCAACCCCGAACCTAAACATCATAAGCCCTGTACAGCTCCGTAGAGGCACCCTCTGTCGCACAGCTGCTGTCTGAGTCGTCCCTGTGTACTTCCCACGAACAATCCTTACAATCCACTCCCCCGTTCCCTATACCTTACGTAAGCCCTGGACCCTGCAGCTCTAAATTCTTAAATCCCAGGCCCTAGACCCAAACCTTCAATCTTCAGAAACCCTAACACTGAGAAAACCTTGGTCAATGCCTACAAAGTGCCACATCCCCTGCTTGGAGGTTCACAGGTGTAGTTGTGAGGATGGTGCAACAACTCGAAATGTCGTATCAGTAGTTATCCTACATGTTGCCTCAGCGAACTTCCAAGCCTGAACCCAAATTAAACGCGAACCACCCTGATGTCGTCTCCGCGAGTCTCTAAACTCGAACCGCCGAACCTGAAAGCCTTCAAATAATCCCTGCAAAGCCCTAAACCCAAACCATGAACCCCCCAAATCCCCATCCCTACCTACACGGGAACCCCTACATCCTCCAACATCCAACCCTTAACCCTTAACCCTAAAACCCCCTGCCTGCGCCACGGCGGCGGCGGTCTCCTCTAGCGCCCGCTTGGGCGACTTGTCGAAGCTCCGGGCGCTGGAGGTGAAGTGGAGAGGCCCGGCACCTGGGCGAAAGCTTCAAGGGCTTAGGTGTTGCTGGAAAGGTTTGGGGGTGGGTGTGTAGGGCTTGGGGCTTTGGGTTTAAGTTCCAGCTCCCGGTTTACCTACTTACGCATGATTGGAATGCGGGAACATGAGCAAAGCTAAGAGTTTACGGTTTGGATTCCAAGCACAGATGCGGGCTTCCACAAATTGGAAGCCCCCTTTTTGGGAGTCTCACAATATAAATCATATTTAGGGTTGAAACTACCCTGATGGCCATCATGGCCAAAAGGGGCTCTATCACCCTGGTCTGGATTGACACCAATACTGACTTCTCCATCACTTCAATGAACCTTTGGTGTTCTCCGATATACTAGAAACAGTGATTAACTCCCCAAAGGAACCCTCAATGATCGGAAACCTTGATATGCTCCATCTCGCCCGGATCCCAAGCCGTGCAAGGGATCCGCAACATCATCACCTCGCCACATCATGTTCTGGGTTACATTTACATGTGCAGGCAGGAGCGCATTTTCTAGATTTTCCGGAGCATCTGGCCGAACCCTGATGGCATCACACACACAAGTGCGGCACTGGGTTGGGCGGCCGCTTCTTGCGGCAGCTGGACATCCGATGCCTCTGTTGGGGATCCCCATAAGAAGGATTGTAGTAATCCCCTCCCCCTATTTCTTGAACCCCCATGTCCTAATATCAAATATTCCGTTTGTGGAATACCATAATATGTTGGGAAAAGTTTAACATCAGGAGGGTGGGGAGGGGTGGGGGCGCTGAATACTAGGGGAGGGGATTAATAGCAATAGTAATAATCATCATCATCATCATCATCATCATCACAGTAATAACGGTAATCAAAATAATAACTGCCGTAAAAAAAAATGTCATATTATTGGGTTGCTGCTAGGGAACTCAGGTTAATTTACTGTGAAAGGTGTACATAACAAATAATGGGGCCTGTAGTAAGGTTTCCTTACCATAGCTACTTAATTTAAATTCATTACAGCAAACCAGATCAGGGGGGAGACTGTCATGGTTGGTATCAGCTGGGATGGCTGGAATCTGATCTCCGGCCCTGGGACCCGCAACTGGTATAGGGTTGTATTAGGGTTGTAGAGGGTATGTAGGGTTATATAGGGATATAAAAGTTTGTGTAGGGATATGTAGGATTCTATGCGGATATACAACTTTGTATAGGGTGAAAGAGTTCTGTGGGGTTACATAATGACATAGTCTGTCAATTCTTCATGTCCCCGGCTGCCGCACCTAAGAAACCTCAACAAGAAACTATCTTTAAGCAATGCGTAATGCCATTGCGTCCTCCTAGAATCATAGTACAAATCCGCGAAGACTCTAAACCCTAAACCTGAAACCCTAAACCCTAAACCATGTTTGGCCCACTTAGTCGGCCTCTGGAGGGCTGGATGCTGCGACCGGCTTTGACCTCAAGAAGGCCATGGGTATGTCTGTGGGGATGCTTTGAGGGCAGGGTTGTGGGTTTAGGGCTTGAGGAGAGTTTGGGGGGTCTAGGGTTTAGGGTGGTTTAGTGGGGTTTGGGGAGGGGCCAGGGGGCTCAGGGAGTTTTACATTGTTTGGGGGAAAAGTGCGGCTTAAGATTAGTTTAGGGCTCGGGGCAAACGGGGGGGCCGGTTGGATAACTGTAGGGATCTGTTCGGGCAGGTTGTCTCTGAAAGTAGTTGCTCCATTTTCGGAGGAAGATGTCAGGATTCCTTACACGCTTAGAGGAACCTAAGGGCAAAAGGGGATGACGCGTGGCTTCGGGGGGCTTCCTATTTGGGAGTCATAGGGGTATACATTAAGGTATACAGAATCTCGAAAAACCGGTTTTTGGGGAACAAATAAGGAGACTGGCAGCCAAAGAAAAAAGAAGGCTCACCAGCTGACTGGGGGAAGTAGGATTCCGAGTGGGAACAAGGTGTCCGAGCTTCTTCTTCTTGTTTGAATGTTGGCATGGAATTGGGCGGCTCAAGTGGGGTCCCTCGCGCAAGCCCAACCCTACCCAAAACCCTTGAGCTTCTCTTTGTTTACCCCAGGCATAACCCAAGAAACCTGAAGATGGGTGGTTGTCAATCCCTAATGAAGGCTACTCTCCATATGGCACCGTACACCTGGAGGGCTTGAGAAAGGCTAATGACAAATCATGTGGGAATTTGTGAAAATACCTGCTGCAACAGGAACCCTTGGAATCTTTCACAGAACCTGCATGACCCTAGCACATAACCTTGGAAGCCACTGAAATGCGTGCTTAGGATGCTGCCGCTCCTTCCTCTGCGCCGGAATCGTCACACCTTTGGCCTTGCTGCAGGCTGCATCTGGATGGTGATGGTGTAGGTTTAGGGCTTTAGGATTTGGGGGTTTTGGGCTGATTCCGAGGATTTGGGATTAAGAGGTCAGATGGTGACCCCTTTCGCCTGTAAGCCGTGCAGGCCGGGCCCCCAAGTATTTCGCGCCCAGAAAACACAACATTATATAAAGAAAATATAACCCCAATATACTATAGTTACTTCCATTTTCTAGCATTATATAAAGAAAATATAACCCCAATATACTATAGTAGTTTCCATTTTCTTTTCCATTATCCCCATATTATCCCAATATATACCTTATAATCCCTATAAAGCACCTACAACGTGGACAAACATCCGCCGTCTGGAGGCTGGGAGTACCCCTGGCTTCCACAAAACGAAGCAAAAAAACTTACTCCATAAGCTAAACCCTTGCCTGAGCCTGAACCTAAGACATCAAACCTGCCATCTGCATGCCTGAATCTCGAGTCCCAAACCTATTACTCCTGAAAACGGGTCTGACAGTCTGGAACATGCTGAGAAAAGTTCTAAAACTGAACTTTACCAAGACTCATGCTCACAGTGCTCCTGCCCTTCATGTTTTACCATGACGCAAATCCTGACTATGCCGATTATTTTGCCAACTGCTGCCCCAACTCAGCAGTCATGCCCATAATGCTACTTTTCAGAGCAACTATGCTTATCTCGTCTGGAAATTCTGAGTGCACGCTAAGCACAAGCAAAATCTCATCCAATGCTTGCGGGCGCTGCCAGAACGGCATTGAATCCAGAATGACAGCATGGCAAACGGAGAAAACTTATCACTGTCCCGGCCTAATTTCATTGTCATTCAACCGCCATAAGGAAATCAGGGTACACGACCAGCAGCCATCTAGAGGCTTTACGAGGCACCCGTGATTTGGGACCCTGTAGCTACTGGAGGTAATTTCCACGTCCTCCTCCACGCCCCACGTCATAGAATTAATATCCAAAACCCCATATGCTCCCTGCAGAGCCCAATATAATCCCTATATAACCCCCCTGTAACCCTATATACTCCCCATACAAGTATTTCAACTCCCGAATTCCTAGTATCCTCCTTAACATCCCCTATACTAGTCCCCTATATAATCCCTTATATAACCCCTTTAAGGAGTTTAGACCCTAAACCCTGAACCTTGAACCCTAAACCCAATATATTCCTCATAAATAACCTCCAATAAGGAATTTAGATTATGGCTCAGATATGGGGGATTGTCAAAATTATGGTCCCTTTTTGGGTCCCCTAAGTTAGGCCCCGTGTTATAGTAGGGACCCAAAAAAAAGACCATAATTTTGACAATCCCCCATATCTCCCAAACCCCCTCCTAAGTCTGCCATGGCCCCGGCCGCCGCCAGCTCCTCGACTGCCTCGCCTCGGGCCAGCGCCTGATCCCACATCCGGGTTATAGGTCTTAGGGGTATATACCGATATGCAGGGGGTATATAGGTGTGTAGAAGGATCTATAGAGATAGATAAATAGTAGGGATATTTTATAGTAGGGATATTTTAAGATATATGGAGATATATGGGGATGTATGGGGTTCAGGGTTTTGGTGTGTTTAGAGGTTTAGGATCTTGTGATTTTGTTCAACCCTTTGGACTTTTACGTCTGCTGCACCGGCACAGGGTCTCGCTTCGCCCTTCTCAGAAAACTCAACCCTCCGTTTGGGTAGTACGATCCTCATGCCGAGCCCTAACCAGTCAATAACAATGGTGATTGCATCCGCCTGACCCTCAATCAAATCCAGGGTTTTAGGGGCTTGGATTTTTTGAAAGCCCACGGTCTTTGACGCCTGCAGCAACTGCATGGGGTGGTTTAGGATATTGACTGGCTTAGGGTTGAAGAGTTCAGGTTTTGGGGCTTCAGGGTTTAGGGTTTCAGGTATCTAGGGTTTCAGGCGTCTAGGGTTTTCAGGTGCTTCAGGGGCTTAGGCCCATCTTTCAAGTTGATGCATCCCTAAACCCTAGACCCTAAACCCTATAACCCTATAACCCTATAACCCTAAAAACCCAAAACCCCAATACTGTGGGGGTTATAGTACCCACAGCAGACCTAAGGTATCCTTCTACGGGTCGCCTAGAAAAAGCCCATAGCACGAAATCGACGCCAAGCTAAGAACATGGGAGCCCCAGCAAGATGACAATCAGGACCCTCAGAGAGATGAGAAGCACACGATTATTACTACTGGTTTTCTCATTATTACTGTTATCATCACTACTGTTACTCCTATTGTTTAGTATTAGTATGATTATTCCTATGCCAGAAACACAGTGAATCAGAACATCAGAATCAACAGCAAGGTTAACGAGGAGGGTCTTTGAGCACGGATAATTCTATGAAAATGAGCAAGGGTAACGACCACTGCTCGAAAATTGTCATGAAGCATTCGAACAAACAACTCACGGCAACTAAAACCCTCTCAGAAACCGGCTTGAGCTTTGGGGTATGGCCGACTTCAAGCAAATATCCCACAGAAAAAACGGCAATATAGGCACCTAAACATGTATCAGTATTGTTTTGAGGTCTATTCGAAGTGCCCTATACCTACCGAAGTTTCATTGAAGGGAATCTAGGACCGTAACATTCATGCGAAAAAGATAGGGCATCTGCAGTAGATTCAGGGTTGGGGCCTTGGCAACATCATGGGTTTAGCATCCTTGCATGTGGAAGTTTGCCTAATACAACTCTGTGCCCATGAAAACTAAGGGCCCTGTATCAATAGATTTGATGAAGACATTTCAGGAGCAGGCAGGCGAGAAGTTGCGAGACTGGTATTCTCCCTCTGTGCCTCTGGGGAACATAGCAGAACCCAACCCTTTTTTCGGTTGCAGCCTTTGCCGTCCAGTCACAATGAGTGAAAATCCTGGGCTATGGCTTTGCCGTAGCCAGCATCATGTCTCTCAGGTACTTTGCAACCTCCGGGCACGAGGGTATGAGATTGGAAAACCTCTAGCGAAAGCCAGCAGTGCCATGCCAGGATGTGGTAAATGTAGACTTAAACAATTTCTTATCAGTCGGCTACAGAATTATCAGTAACAAGGCTTGAGCTGCATCACGGCCAGAACTGGAAGTACAGACGCTGCTGATGTGCTTCTGCAAGCTTATTGCACGTTGTTGGACATTCTGGTTGCTACATCCAAGGCATTCGGCCATAAAACGCTTACAAAGTATTTGGTGTTGCACTGGCTCTTGACATGCCCATCCTTCTCATGAAAGAACCACAGCTAGGATAAGGCTTAAGGCAATCAACAAAAAGTTCAGTGGCAAACATGACGTACAGTAGTCCTACCATCAGATCACCTCATGCGGGGCCAAACTGTCCGCACAGAGCACTGGCACACTTGCTTGTGCCAAGCTGCAGTTGCCTGGCCGTTGGATGCTGCCCAATGATAGGGCCTCAGAGCATTCCACGATATTGGGCTTCAAAGGCAGGCCTGTTCTGCTTCAGCTTCATGAAATCTACGAATCCAATTGCACCGGGAAAGACCCCAAACAGTAGCAGTAAAGGCTGAAACTACATGAGGGAAGACAAGAGGGAGACAAGGGCTCCAGAGTCTTTTTCTTTAAAGGGATCACCTACCTCTGGAGTCAATCTGATAGGCAAAAAATCCAGCCGTTTGCAACTCCTGGTGACGGCGCATGCATCACGATATAGTTCAGCCTTATAGGGCGCTTGGGCTTCGCAAACCCATCTCCCAGTTCTCTCAACCACCTTGTGCCAGCGGCGGCAGGCGGGCTAGAATTCAGGAAGGACCAAAACTCCAACCAAGGACCCTAGAGTAATATCCTAAGCCCTAAATACCCTAAGCACCCTAAACAACCCCAAACCCTCAACACCCCAAGCCCCAGACCCTAAACCCCCAAACCCCTAAACCCCCCTAAACCCCCCAAAACTCCCCTGGACCCCCCTTAACTGGGACACCCTGCAGGCTGCCCTGACCATCCCGGTCCCATACTGTCGCTCTGAGCTCCACGAGCCGCCTCCTTGCAAGTCATCGCCATCAAGGTTTATAAGGTTTAGAAGGTCTCTTTAAGGTTACATGGTTTAGGGCTGAGGGTTACGGAGTTTAGGGTTTAGGGCTATAGGATTTGGGGCTTAGGGTTCTAAGGTTTAGGGGCAAGTCATTGCCATTACTCGGCCGGTTGTTCAAATGCTTGTCGGGATTTATAGACAGGCTTAGTAGGCCGGTTCCCAGGTCTCATTAAGAGGCCATGGGGAATGATATAGGGACTTTGCTTATAAGGTCCATTAGAAAGAGGTTACGTGTACAAGGCCTAGGGTTTTGTATAGGGATTATATAAGGACATAAAGCGTGTAGGGTAGAGCCCGAATGGAAAATGAGATAGAAACGGAGGTTAGACCCGAGTACTGTAGTACTTTCCATATTCTTCCTTCACTCCCTACAGCAACCAATAAGTCAAGTGAGGTCCTGAAGGAAATGAGCCGCATGCTTGCAAGCTGCTGCTTGTGCCCGCTCGAATTCAAGTCCAATCTACTGGGTACTTCCCCAGCGCCAGAAACCGGAGAAAAGCCTTGGGGTATGCTTCAACATGCTGCCCACTACATGCAGACAGAATCTTTGACATACTGTTGCTAGGGACCTCCTAGCTAGATGCAAGACCCCCAATAACAACACAAAAAGCGCAAGAAGAGACCTTGCAAAGCTGGGGTTCCAACAGAAGGCTCAGGTGCCCATTGGCCGCGGCCCAGTGCAAAGCCTGACCTAGGCGCTTCTGAGGTTCGCAGCTTAGCTCGTAACGTCTCAGGCTTAGGGATTCGGAGCTCAAATGCATGTCTATACAGAGCACCCAAAAAACAATGTCACGTTCAGAAGGCTTTTCTTGGAAGCACTGGGGCGGTACAGGTCGCCCATCGCAATTTATTCAATGGCCGGCTGGCTGAAGGTTTGTCCCACCATAGTATGTAACACTTAGGTTCTCAAGCCTGATGATCACTGAAACGGTTCTAGGAACCCCCTTGCCCCCAGAAGAGTCGAGACATGTTGGCCTCCCGAAACTGCATCCTCAGGAGCCTTTCGCCGAGCGATACCGTTTGTTGGTGGAATTATTCTCAAGCAGTCTGGCAGGCTAGAAGCAGGTGACGGCCACAATCTGCGCGTAAGATACAAATACGATTGCTTGCTGCATGGAGGAACCGAAATTGTGTTCGTCCGCGCAGGGTTGACGTCGGAGTTCGCTGTGGCTGCCGACTTTGGGCGCCGCTGCGGAGGTGGGAGTTCTAATCACAGCAACATGTGTAGTAGTCGCGATGCAAACAGAATGCAAATCAGTCGAATCCCAATATACGTCCGGCTTTCCGCATTTTTGTTGGATTATAGTTTGAGGAGGGGGCTATTTGACACATGCCAACAATGATTTTTGGCATCAGCACCCTGATGAGCAGCAACTTCCCATGGCAACAAGATAAGATAGGGTCCAAGAGCCGTCTTAGAAAAGGCTGCAAAACCTGATTTGCTCCTGGACCTGCATGCCTGCTACTACCGCGAGTACCTTGACCAAAGTAAGCCATTCCTCTGGTTTCAACTGGTAGTCTGACTGGTGCTGGGCCACACTTACTTCTAGCGCAAGTGGCCTACCTAAGATTGCCACCGTATGTTTTAAGACTGTTAAAGCCACGTTTACCATTTCTTCTTCTTCTGCGGCTACTACTCCAACTTCTGCTCCTTCTGACACTTCCACATGTGCTGCAGGTATACCGCTTGTCAGAAAATCAGCCCGCTCGGCGCATCTCAGCGTGAAGGAGGTCGAAAAGCTCCTTGCCTGGAAGCGTCGAAGGCAAGTGGGCTTCTCAAGAAAGAGGAGCCCTGGAGGGGACCTTAGGGACATATCGAGGATTCTGGGACTCCCTACAAGGGCTTGCAAGGATTGTTTAGAGAAACTCCAACATACTTGCAGGTTCTCACTACTACCCACAAGCAGGCTGTTACCACCCTGAAACCCTCAAGCTTCTATGTCTGTATCACACCCCGAGAAGACCCTACAACTGTATACGGGCCTCCAAAATTACAAATATCAGGTCTACTTAAGGTATCATAATTACCCCAAAATATTCAAAAATGATACAAGGGTTCTATGACAAGATGTTGGGTTCTTGAACTCCTATACTACCTGGCTCTTCATGGCTCGCCTCGGTGCGCGTTTCCGCCGCAGAGCTGCGAGCAGCGCGCTTCCGTGACCCGTACCTGAATCCGTCCATAGGGTTCCTTATATATGGGGTTCTCCCAATTAGGGGTACCTTTCAAAGGGATTATGGGGCTATGTAAGGATTATATGGGAGGTATAGAGGGGTTATATAAGGATATGTAGGGTTTTGGGTTCAGGGTTTCCCAAATTTGAGGGGTACCTTCTTGGGGGTAGCCTATGGTAGGGATTATAATCTTTTGCGGTCTATACATGTAATACATTACGGTCCCCTTCTTTTGGTTCCATCTAAACTCCTAGCATCCCCTTTAGCAACACTATAATAACCCCCTTTGCGGAGTTTAGACTATAACTCAAGATTACATGAGCTTCAGACAACACTGAGAACTCCGCATGCGAGTATGGGCATTTCCAATGACAAATGTTGTCTTTTTTAAAATATTTCGTGGGGGTGTTCGGGGAATGATTAGGTGGTGGTCTATCTTTGAGAACAAATAGGACCAGGAAGTATTGCCAAAGTAGACCTCTACTTGAAGGATCATGGGCAGTTTCAAGTAGGGTTAGACGTCTCACAAATACTGTTGCAACTGTACTTATCCTACTTATAGACCACGCCCTGGCGTCCTCAACAAGCTCCCTAGAGAACCCTAGATATTCTGAGACAGGCTTCTGCAACGATTCTACGCATGGGTCCCTCTATTACCAGCGGACACCCTGCCCCAAAGCACAATTGGATTTCTCCGACTCGAAGCCCATGCGGACCATGAGGATCTGTGGGGACTCAAACGGCTACAGGATTATGACGAGTCCCTATTAAGAACTCTTTTGGGATACTTTGTGGGACCCCATTAATTGAGAATTCCGGTGGCCCTCCCAAAGCTGTCTGAACCATAGTTCAAGCCGAGCACCAGCATCTGCCCTGTGAAGTTGCTGGGCAGCTGGTCCTCGCGAGAGCTCTCAACATGTCAGGGTTCGTGCATGACATGTCGCAGTGAAATTGCAGTACGTCTTTCCAGAGCTTCTCAACATTCTCTCTGCGGTACTTTCGAAGGAGGACCCCGGAATCCCGACTTTATATGCATGCTAGCTTCCATAAATAGGGGGACATTTTGGGAAACTCCCACATCCCTGGAGCCCGAGGATCCCTTAGAGCACGCCGTGACAAACAGGGCATGCTGCCAGTGTTTCACGACGGTGCTGTTACCTGACACCGCTTCTGCTGGAACAGACTCAGTATAGGACTTTCTGAGAAACATGGGCCGGACCACTCGACTTCCTCATGGGGCTGCTGCGTGAATTTGCACCACCTACGTGACAAGGTAAACCACACCAGCTCTTGAATTTCCTGCCTCCATATACTGCAAGTAAGATCTGTAGCACCAAGGTACCTGCTACCCATACTGCACAAAGCCATCCCAGGAGAAGTCCAACCAAAGCCCCCGCAAATCGCAAGCAAACCTTGTACAACATAGACCTTTTTCCATCCGAAATACAATCCTATGTGAATGTGTTCCTCCACTTAGAACCCTGCATAAGCCCACTCCAGGACGTCTTGGAAGGCCCCCTCTGCCAGAGAGCTGAGCCAGGCCCGAACAGCCTCACCAGCAGTGAGGGCAAAGCGCCCCTCCCCAAAATTTTCAACATAAGGATGGTTACACTATTTAAAAAAATTAACCACCCCCCAAAATAGCATGGAAGCCCATATGCAGCCCTGCAAACACACCGTTGTCCTTGTAAAATATGGGTTTCTGCGTGAGTCTGGGGGAGGTTACGTCTCTGACAGTCACACCCGCATAGCAAGAGATTCTATAGAGCAAAAGCAAGTTTGCACATTGGGTTTCGGGTTTGGGGTAGCAAGCAGACGGAAGGGATATGGAAAAGATCTAGAGCATAATGACCGCCCCTGCCCGAATGACTACAGCACACCTACCACCAACACAATGGTAACAAGCACTTGTGACTCGTAAACCGTGGGTTACAACTCACGTAAGCTTGAAAGTCAAAACCAAAAGCTATAAGCCTTGATCTTGCTATGCGAGTCCGGAACCCTGAAGCCCAAGGTAAACGCTCCTGCCCCAGACCTGGCCCCAACCCTGTGGCAGCTCTGTAACCTGAATCAAAGTTCCTATCTCCACACCAAATGAAAATCATGAAGAAGATGATAACTACAAGAAAGAATGCTAGTGACTGCAGCTCCTGTGTAAATAGTCACTGTGACTATATACACGCATCGCTTCTGATTCGAATCCCAGTACGGGCCTCTGGATCCCAGGATTTGGGATGAGGAATCCGTTGCCGCCGCTCGATGCCTGGAACCGGGGACCAGTTTGCACAGTATCTTGATGTCTAAATCGCATGCCAGGGTCCTTCCAAGATGAGCTCGCGATCTTCACGCTCAGAACCGCCAGTGCAAAGTGACACCTTGTCATTGTGTTACGAGACGATCAAGACGGTTTCTGGCAGCAGTGAGAAACTTGCCCCTCGACATGTAATACGCAACAGAGAACACGTTCGTCAGGGAGGTCGCATCCAGAAGCACGTACAAATATAGACTGGTAAACCTGTTCCCACTTTCACCACGCCTGCTATACTCATGTGTACGGAAAATTGCAAACAAGCTCTAAAAGAGAAACCTATGACATTTCAGGACCTCAAGCAATGTCAGATTTGAAGCCTTAGAGTTTGGAACCCTACAACTTCGCAAGCTTTAAGCCTCCTTAGTATCTGCCGCGGAACGCCCGTCCGCAAGGTGGACAGAGTGTGCTCCGTGTCCGATGCACATGGCGAGGCAGTACAAATCACCTTGGCTCAGTGGCCAAGCTACACATCTCCAAGATAGAACAAATGCTTGGTTGGCCTTTAGAACCCTTTGAAAAATATTAGTATATAGGTCCTTATGAAATCAAGTAAGGAAAATATTGAAGTATCCCAAAGGCCAACCCAGAATGAGAACAATGAAAGAAAGAAATCTTGAAGCAAGAGGAGTTCGTTTGGAAGGGTGTAGGCTGTGATAGAACCATGTGGTACAAAGCTGAGGTGAGATCACTTACACAAGCTGTGTTCCTTCCTGGGGACCTTGGGGTCTCTTTTGCTCGTATCTACAAAGACCCTCTGACCCCATGAAATTCAACTGCATCAGCTGAGAAAAGGCACAGCAGGCTTGAGATATGTAGATATCATCAATACATGATGAAAGAAATGCCTCCGACAGCCCGCAAAGGGATCATCCCCGACTCCATGACACAACCTGGATTGATAATCCTCATGCACCCTAAACCCTAAACCCTGCACAACCCCCGTGGCTTGAGATCCCTTTCGTGTGGAAGAGGTGCTGCAAGGCGCGCAGCACGCGTCCGGAGAAAAGACTCCGCCAAGATCCTTTGCGGTTCGGGTAAGAACTACTATTACTATTATCATAGGCGCGGGACTTCCGAACCCTTTTGCTTACTGGTGCGCAGTAGGGAATAAGGGAACAGAAGAGGTGGCTGTGCGGCCTGCGTTTTTGCACATCGATTTTTTCTTGGTGGTTTATCATATTTAGCTGTCTCTAGGGGAATATAATAATTATATAATATATACATATATACCTTAATTCCCTACTCAACCCCCGGTAAGTGCATTGTTGCGACCACAGACTATGATGCTAGCATTGTAAGGAGGCTTACTAGTGGAGCCCAACCGTGGCAGCCAATTTCTTGGCTTTGATGGACCTCTGCATTATTTTGCTTCGAGACTTCACGACATGATGTTGCGCTTGGATTAGGTGAAAAGGAAATACAATACAATTCCATTCATTGACTACCGTCGTGATGGGCCCCCATAAAATCTCTAAGCATTATCAAGGTTTGATGAGCTCTATTGATGCTGGTAAGCCTACACAAGTGCGGAACGGGTGGAATCGCAAAAGCATCCCCTTACGACCCGTCACCTAAGCATGGCCTACATGGGGTTCCATGTATTGGTACAGTTCACAGGCTGAGCGTCTTAGTGAGCGAGGAGGCCCGGAAGATGTGCGATGGCACGGAGCCCTGCGAGGTGAAGTATCGGATGCACTCCTTCACGATCTAGGGTTTGTCTCTGGCTTAGGGTTCAGGGTTTCGGGCTTAGGGCTTAGGATCTAAGGATTCGGTTCCAGGGTTTCAGGTTGAGAGTGTAGTCATGGTAGTTTTGGGGGTTGAGGTCTGGCTCAGTGTTGTCTAGTTGGCTTCGGATCGGCTATCATCCAAAAGAAAGCCTCTGGGGGTAAAGCTGTCTAGCAGGTATTTACTTCCGCTCAGAGTTTCTAACTTCTCCGCACAAGATCGCACAAGATAGTTGGGCCCTTTCCCGTGGAATGCGGCCATGCCTCAGAAAAAGTGTACGGGCTCTACCTCCTGCAAGCAAGTACTCCAATCCGAGCCTTACCCCCCTGATAAAGAACAACACATTGTACTAGGCCGAGTAAACGAAGAACCCAGGGTCGAGAAATCCAGCGGTCCTTGAGGGCGTGCAGCGAAGCATTGATCTCGGCCTAGGTGATGCAACGTAGGGGCCTGTTTAAAAAGTCGAACAGGACCACGGGGTATATTATGATGCAAAGAATGATGTTGGGAATGAACTTCTCCCAGATTGGCCAACCTTCGAAAAGACTGCCGTCTTCCAAGGCCCCCTCTGCGGTTCCGGGTTCGTTTGGGGGTGGGTAGTCAGTGGCTAGCTGTTAGGAGTCTGTTAAACAGAAGCGAATGCCAGCCGACGCCAGAACATCATCCTGAACCCCGAACTAAACCTTCTAGATCTAAATTCAACACAATCATACCAGACCACCAAAGATCAATCAAGTGGTCCAGAATTTTGAGAATCCTCCCAGGAGTCCCCAGGACATTCTTAGATAATCCTTGCCCCTATGTGAAGCATTGAACTCGTTTGAGGCGCCCCTTCCTGCTGTCGCTCCTTGGAGTGGTACATGGCATCCTTCCTTGGCTCTCGAATGCTCTACCCCAAGTCCAAGGTTCAAAGTATGGATCCCTAATCTGGGTTGCTGTTAAGGCTGTTAAGGAACCTACCATAATTTGGGCATTAAAGTAAATAAAACAGTAGGGTCTGCTTAGCATAGTAACTGAATTGAAGTTCCTTCCTGAAAAGCAACCCAGTAATGTGGACCCTGAAGCGTCGGGTCCCTGCAGATACAGTACATACTAAGAATATACCTAGCATGCGCCCCTGGACAACTTGAAACCAGTCCGAAGACCCGTACCGCCTGGTGGCTCATGTTTCGAACCTTACCCACCCCCCAAACTTAGTTTTGGGGGAGGCTGGGTTTACAAAGTTCCTCTTGTTGAATATCTATGTCTAACCTTGTCATCTTTTTTGCGCGTTGCGCAGTGTTGGATCCACTTGCGGGATAGGATTTTGGGTTTAGGAAGGGTCAGGATATCCGCTGGGGTTTCCAAAATTAGGGATCCCTTTGTTTTGTCTGTGGGGGAGACCTCTTCCTCCCACATTGACACGAGGATGACTGATTGATCTTACTAGGAGATTATTGCGCTGCTGGCATTTAACTTTCATCATCTGATTCATGCCTATGCTAGCGCAGGATAAACCCAAACTGGAGTCGTCGCGGTGCAACCACATACTGCCAGCCTTTGTGGTAGCTTGATGCTCAAATAGCAGAACACTTGGCTGCTATTACGTTGGTTGCGGGAACCTGGTTTTTCCGGCGTGTTGCAGATCCCTCGATTGTTGCACACCCATTTCGCAGAATGACTGTACAAGTCTCTTGCATGAATGTTCACTTGCACCATATATACTACCAAGAGTCTCCGGTATGTCTGGAACTGGAGGAATTGTTCGCATTTTTTCACTTCAGGCACTGGGACCTAAAATTTTTGCGTGTGCCTGAAATGACCTACGAACTTTGAACATAGCACCTTCCCTTTTCTCTGCCATCATCTACATATTTGTCGCATAGCAGCCTCCACTTGTCTTCTAGATTAATGTTCCAAAGGGCTCGAAAGGCGGGATGAAGGAAGGTGGGGTATAGGAAATAAGCCCCAATGTAGTAGAGTATATACTAGGGTTCCTTTAACCCACCGACCTTCCTCCGACTTTTTTGAGCCCCGTGAATCAACATGGCCGTTTGAATTTTCCCGTTCTGTTGCCATGACATTTGTAGTATATCCCTTCAAAGGTCCCCCCCAAAGCCCTGTATAGTCCCCTATAGGTCCCCCCCAACCTAAATTTAGTCCGTGGGGACCCCTAATTTACCATAATATACTACTATACTATAGTAGTTTCAATTTTATTTTCCATTATCTCTATATAACCCCAATATATACCCCTATATAGCCCCTATATAACCCATTATAGTGGTTTCCATTTTCTTTTCCATTATCCCAATATATACCCTATATATTCCGTAGCTCACATGATGCTGGCCGAGTTGCCTTCGCTCTGTCCCGGCACAATCGATCAGGAGAAGCTGGCCACCCGTCTGCCCGAAGCGGAGCATGCAAACCTTTTCTGTGATGGATTTTTTGTCACATGAGCCACTGTCTAAACTCCTAGTATCCCCCTTAATAGACCCTATAGTAGTGCCCTATATAATCCCCTATATATCCCCCCTTTAAGGAGTTTAGACCATAGCTCACATGGGAGCTCTTGAATAATGGTTTAGGGTTTAGGGGTTAGGGGTTTAGGGTTTGATAAGGGGTTGTTGCGGGCTTTGCAAGGTTCCCAATGAACACTTACGGGATGTTGGGATGGCAGCGGGGAGTTCTGCAATTTGACGGTTTGGGGCCCTTTTGAAGCGTCGTGCAACGCACGTCCTATCTTTGGGGGTGCAGGGTGGGCTGCGCCGCACGAATTTCTACGTTCTGATATCATTACTGTCAGCTCTGTCCTTGTCAGTCATTTCATGCTATGATTGCATTCTCAGTCAATGTCATCGTGGCTACCACCTCGGGTCTTCACTCCCGTACACTTGGTCACTAGGACATCAGGTCAAGCACAAAATCTGAACGACGTCGTCTCCTCGTTGCTAGTCTTCTGAGATTTGCTTGTCATCTCTTTGTGGTTTGAGGGCTTCACGCGTTTAAAAAACTAAGTTTCGTGCGCCCTACTCCGCCGCCGAGGAACGGCATGGCTCCGTGAGCTGACGTCGTTGGCCTCAGTTGCTGAAGTCGCTCGGCAGGCGTGTGCTCTTCGCATCCAGGTGCAGAGGTCCTCTGGCGATGTAGGGCCCATCACTAGGGCCCCATCTGCCACGTACCTCTGTCTGAAGCCCTTCTGCTGTTGAAATACTTGAAACCTAGGACCCAATAAAGAAACAACAGTACCTTCTAGCAACCTAGATACGTTCCATCCTTCATCTCCCTGAGTCGCAGTTCTGGGGCTTGCGCACCCCGCCGGGCTGCTGCCCGTGTATCTCGCGCAGCAGCGGCAGCTGTAAGCAAGTCGAAGCATCGGTTCCCGCGCAGCTCGTAGAATTGCCTGGGTCAGCGCTTGGGAAACCCCCGAAATCAATCACGATCACGTTGAGTAGGGGAGAACCCATAAGCCATAAGCGTTCCAGCCTTGAACGTCTTAATGGCCGAGTTGCAGGAAAATGAAGTCATCTGCAGGATCCGTAGCAGAGGCAAACATGTCCCGTGCTGCAAACTCTTCAATAGCAGTCATTGTGAAAGTCTTTCCGCTCCCTGTTTGACCAAACATGAACATTGTGGCAATACCACCGTTCAAAGCGATCTGAACCAGAGGCTCAGCTGTTTGAGCATAAACTTCTTCGTTGGAAGCCTGCTCTGGAAAAACGCAGTCGAAGCAAAAATGTGTGTGGGTAACAAAAGGCGTCTTGAGGTCTGCTTGAAATTGGCAGTTGTGAAGCACAACTTCCTTGCAGGCTGGCTTTCGGGGCACCACCGTCACTGCGTCGTAGTCTCCGCGAACCTCCGACTCCTTTTCAGAGATAGGCCGCTTACGCATGTAGACCTGGACAACGGCGCGGGTAGCTTCCAGCTCAGACGGGTGCTCCTCTGCATCAGCTTTGGATAGCAGTTTCGACCTTCGTCTTGCAATGGCCTGGGTTGCTGTTAAGGAACTTAAATTACCATAACGGGTGTGTGTGTGTGTATATATATATGTAGTAGTTAATCAAGTTTCCCCAGTAGTGCAACTTAATCTAAGACCCTTAAATCCCAATATTCCCGCAGTATCCATTTCATTTTCCATGTTCTTTTCCATTTGATTCTCCACTATAGGGGGATGATATAGTAACTTGAATCAAATTCCTTAACAGCAGCCCAGTGGCAGCCCGGAACATGTCCTTGTGCATGGACCGGAGCTCATTCTTATCGAACATCTGGCGCCCTCCTTCCTCTTTTGGAGTTGCCCTCCTGGCCGCACCAACGGACTGCGCGCGGCTGGCTTTGGGAGGGGTTGGCGATGCGACAGCTTCGGATGCTGGCTTTGATGACGACCTCACAGGACGAGTTTGGTCGTTTGGCTCAATGCGAGGCAGTCTGCAAGGGCTGTGTGTTGGTCGGTCCACGGAAGGCTGGGAGAGACGCTGCCGCGAGGCTTCAGGCACTTGTTTGGCCGTGGCATCCGGCGGCTGGGATTGACTTCTACGCATCTGCGTGGGGGGGGTGGGTGGCGAGGGTGCCGACGGCAGATCTTCTTGATCTGCCCTCCTGGCCGAGATCTGCGGCGAACGCGAGGCTGCCTTCGGCTTGGGTGTAGGCACGGCTGGGCTGCGCGGCCTTGACGGTGAGTCCACAGGGCTCTTCGAAGCTTTCGGCTTACTCGGGCTTCGAGGCGGGCGGGCTTCGGCTTTAGCCTTGCGGAAATGCGGGTTGGAGAACACCATGGCATCTATGTCGTTTTGCCTCTCCTCACCACCGCGAAGGCCAGTCTCCCAAGCACCAACCTCTGCTTGAATGTCTTCGCGCTGCTGGACAAGCACAATCTCTGGGCCTCGGGGCTCGCCCTTACTTGGCTTGCGAGCACGCTGCTTCTGCCTCGGCTTACCAAATACTAGTGCGTCGTCACTCACAACATCCCCCTGCCCACCCCGAAGCCCCGCTGCCCAAGCGTCTGTCTCAGGGCTCGGTTCCCTCTCAGCCTTTGCCGCAGCGTTTGTGTTGTTTTCCTTCACTTCCTGACGGCCTTTCTGCTCCATCCGTTGATGCTCCGGCCAGAAGGTGGCATCAGCTCCCGGCGGTGGGTCAGAATGAGTGAGGTTCCAGGAGATCTCGGAATCCGAAGCCGCCGCTACTGGGGCCGCGTCCAGCGCCGCTGCTGGAGCTGCCGCTGCTGATGGCGCTGCTGCCGTCGGGTCAGCTGCTGCCGAGCCAGCTGTTGCTGGGGCAGCTGCTGTTGGAGCTGGGGCAGCGAGCGCCGGTGTGTCCACGGCCTCGGGGAGCAACGTTACGTCGATGCCAGCTGCCCCTGGCAGACTCTGCGTTCACTTCAGCTGTCTCAAGACAAAAGTTGGCACTCTGAAGGACTGCGGCGTCCCAATGTTACGTCGTGCGGAGGCTGCAACAGAAACTAGGAAAGAGCTCTTACTATCATGACTGCTGCGTCTTCCCCATTACTGCTGTTGTTGCTGCGGGCGATAGATATCATTGATAGTACATTTGCAGCTGCTCCAAGTATTGGGGCTACCACACATGCTCTCACCAACGGGCCTGCACACTGCTGGGGCAGCAGTGTACCCTCGGTGTCACCGTCCATTGTCTTGCACAGTATACCCAGCAGCGACTGAAGGAAGGGAGGCTACTCGGGCCATTCTTGGGGAAAGTCAGGGTCAGGTTTAGTTCAGGGGACTCCTTTCCCTATTCAAGACTGAATGCCGTGATTTCATGGACCTACAAAAGGTGCACGTGAGTTTGAGACACTTTTACCTGCGGGTGCTTATCTTCAAAGGCCGGTTTTCGCACGCGTGCCCCCTCAGGGATCTCCGTGTTGGGATCCCTGCGGGAGCGTCGCGTACGCGGACAAGCTGAGCTGAAAGCTGCAACAACACAAAACGAACAGAGCTTTCTGGAACAAGATCCCTTAGGCATGGGATCTTGCAGAAGGTGATTTCTTTGCGGGATCTACATGAGTACCCTCTTCTTATCTGTTAGTTGCTCCAGCCCTCCCCGAATCCTAGAATCTACAAAGCCTCTTTCCCCTACCCTTTCTTGGAGGCCTTTTGGCTTTCGTACATCTACCTACTATCCCCACCAGCTCCACCAAGCCCGCATGATCTGTAAGGCTGCCGTGTATAATATACCATAATAGACGATAGAACACCAGAATATACCGTAATATACGATAATCTACTATAATATACCATAATATACCATAACATACCATAATATACCATAATATACCATAACATACCATAATATACCATAATGGTACCATAACATACCATCATATACCATAATATACCATAACATACCATAATATACCATAATATACCATAACATACCATAATATACCATAATATACCATAATATACCATAACATACCATAATGTACTGCAATATACTCTTGCCAGGCACTGAGCTGGCAACCCCCGTGCACAGAATCGGAGGAGTGCAAGGATGCCTCAGGTCTCTGCAGCTTCCAAAACTGGAAAAGTCTCTGAAAACAGTTTTCCGCTGGAACCCGCAATATCTTACAGTGTGTTATTATAGGGATAATGGAAAAGAAAATACAAGCCACTACACTATAATAGGGAACTATATTATAGTAATATTATAGTATATTATAGTCTATTATAAAAAGTTCTAAAATATTTTAGCATATAGGGAACTATATTACCCCAAACCCTAAACCGTCAGATAGCCTCATACTCACCTTTTACTCTAAAGTCTCCGAAAGATACTCCTCCTGCGGCGCTTGCCGTGCTCCTGCTGCCTCTCCAGGGCTGCTCTTTCTGCTAAAGGCCTACCCAGACCCCCAAAGGGATCCAAAAATTAGATCCCCTAGAACCATATGGGAAATTATATAAGGATTATATAGGGGTTATAATGGGTTTATATGGGGGATCTAATTTTTAGATCCT